ACTTGGGAGGCTAAAACTGGGTGGATGGTGGTTCAAGGCAGCCCAGGTAAACACTTTCCTGAGACCCCCATCTCCAAAAATAACCAGAACAAAATGGACAATGGACTGGAGGCATGGCCTACCAAGTTAAGAAACAAACATTCCAGAATTCCTCCATTTTACTGAAGATACTAAGGCAAACGGCCCTCAGTTCCTAGGAACCCCAGACATACCTGGGGATTCTCCATCTTTATGGTAGCCTTGTCTCTAGCCTGGGACCTTAAGGAGTCGGCACACAGAAGGCACAAATAAGGACTAAGGCCAGATGCCAGTAGCTCATACCTGTAATCCTAGTTACTCAGGAGGCAGAGATCAGGAGGATAATGATTTGAAGCCAGCAAGGGCAAATAGTTCAAGAGACCCTATCTTAAAAGAAACCCATCACAAAAAAGGGCTGGTGGAGTAGCACAAGGTGTAGTCCCTGAGTTCAAATCCCAGTACTACAAACAAACAAAAAACAAATAAGGAGTAAGGCCCAGGAAAGTGAAAGGAAGTTCTCAGCCATAGATCTGGTTGCAATAAGTAGGCCCACCCTTGGTCCTTGTGTTCTCCTTCCCTGCTACTAAGACACTTCCCTAACCACAGCCAGACCTAAGCAACGCATTCCTCCCAGGAGAACACACTCTAGCTGATAAAATGAGAAAAGGGAGATGATACTGACCAGAACAAATCACTCATTCTAGGGAAGTCACTTCAGGGATAAACCACACACTGCTGCCCCCCACAGGGTAGTACTCAAGAATTCTTGCCACATATGGTCAAAGAAAGAGAATCACAGAATCTCAAAGCTGGGAGGGGATAGTCAACTCAAATTAAAAAGCAGACAAAAATATCCTCCTCAAATGGCCCATCTGAAAAATTAACAAAACAAAAAGCCTAACACAAGGTTCTCTCAACACCAGCCCAAAGAAATTCTGTGGGAGGGGGTGGGGGCAGGGGGGAGAAATGACCAAAGCATTGTATGCACATATGAATAATAAAAAAAAAAAAAAAAAAGAAAGAAATTCTGTTCAACACTTTTTTTTTTTGGCCTGTACTGGAGTTTGAACTCAGGGCCTCACTCTTGCTAGACAGGCGGTCTACCACTTGAGCCACTCCACCAGCCCTTTTTTGTGTTGAGTATTTTTGAGACAGGGCTTTGCAAAATAATCTCCAGGCTTTCAGCCTGGATCCTCCTGAGTAGCTAGGATTACAGGAGTGAGCCACTGGTACACGACTCAGCTCAAATTCCAATGTCCACCTTGTAGAGAATTTTTTGGATCCACTCCCCTTACCCTAAAAGGACTAGTCCTCTGTCCTGGAGGATTAGGTGAGGATGGGCTGAACTGGATTCTAAAACAAGCAGTATTGGCATTTCTACTGGATTCTGTCCTCATTCCTTAACACCTAGGCAATGGCCTGTTGAAAGCACACCCAAGGAGCTTCCATGATCAAATCTGCTGAAACTTTTACCTCTGAGAGGCCTCCTGTATCATTTACCCTGTGAAAATGTACTGGTTACCACTGTAAGAACAACTACTTGGCATTTGGATCATAGTGACCATGAAAGAGTCTCGAGGAAAGAGAAGCAATACAAGAGACTGAGAGGCCTCAGAAAATGCTAGTGAGAGTCCCGGGCACAGTGCTAATGCCCAGCAAAGACCAAGAAGGAGTAAGCTGCAGAAGCCCATAGCTAACAACTGTAGTACTTTGGGGTGCCTCAATCAAGGGGCCCCAGGCCTTTCTGGGTTCATAATCCGTGGTATACCTCCCTCTGTGTTTCTGCCAGTCACTGGAGAGGAAGGTAGGCCCTCTAAAAGTCCTTCCTCTATGAAGACCTCGGTTCAAACCCCAGTACTGCAAAAAAGGAAGAAAAAGTCTTTTCTCTACATTTTTCTAATCATTCAAAAGCTCCATCCTCTGGCATAGTTTTTTTTTTTTCCTGAGGTGCTGGGGTTTAAACTTAGGGCCTACACCTCGAGCCACTCTACCAGCCCCATTTTGTAAAAGGTTTTTGATTTTGTTTTTCTTTTTTTTAAGGGTTTTTTCGAGATAGGGTCTCACAAACTATTTGCCCAGGCTGGCTTCAAAGAGATCCTCCTGATCTCTGCCTCTTGAGTAGCTAGGATTATAGGTGTGGAGCCACCAGAGCCCAGCTACCAGCACAGTATTAAGAGCCCCTGCTGGTCCCTTCAACTAAGCGCTCAGCAACATTATTACCTATCACCCCAATACTGAGACCTCCTTTCCCCAGTGTGAGGGGCTGGATAACATTCACTTTTCTTCCCAGAACCAGAAACAGAGAGGACCAAAGAATGTTTGCTTAAAAAAAAAAAAAAAAATCTGACCACTTAAGAAAAAACAAAATGAAAAAACCCTACCATTGGCAAGAATGGGGAAAATAATAATTTCAAACAAGATACTAGTACCTTGGTAAGTTAGGAGTTCTTAGGTTGTTTTGCTTTTCGATATGGGGGTTTTGCTATGTAGCCTAGACTTGGCTTCAAACCCAAACAATCCTGCCTCAGTCTCCTCCAAAGTGCTGGAATTATAGATGTGAACCACTACACTGAGGATTTTGATACAAGGTACCTTCTAGTTTTAAGTTTGAAAATTATGTCTTCAATCATTCACCCTATCTCAAAGTACCAACTGGAAAGAAATCAGAATAAAGCAAGATGTAGCTCAGAGAAACATGGGCGTCTAGTTATTAAAGGACCAAATTTTTAACTGAATAAAAAGCTGGCTACTCTAGCCACCCTGACACCCTGCCCCTTGCTTGTGAAGTCATATCCTGCCAGTTAGGTCCTACTTCCCAAGTCAGCCCTACATAATATAGAGAGTACAGACAAATTCTAGAGAACATCAGAGTTCTCTTATCTCTGAGAACTAGGTGGCCTGCCAAGTCCAGAAAAATCAAGGACTTATCAGGGTCAGGATGCCTAGCAATGGCTCACATCAGACAAAAAAATTTTAGGGAACTTCTAAAGGAATTGGAACAAGAGGGAGGGACCTGAATTTCTCCTGTACCTGGGTAACCTTGGAGAAGGAACAGTACCTTTTTGACCCTGAAGGTACTGGTGTCTATGTAGCTCAGTGGTACCGCACTTGCCTAACATGCATGAGTCCCTGGGTTCAATCCCCAGCACTGCAAAAATAAAAAGGAAAAAGAAAAATAGGGGCTGGTGGAGTGGCTCAAGTGGTAAGAGCGCCTGCCTAGCAAGTGTGAGGCCCTGAGTTCAAACACCAGTACCAACCATTAAAAAAAAAAAAAAAAAAGAAAGAAAGAAAAGAAAAAGAAATCAAGCCATCCAGAGCCCAGGAATATACAAACTAATCCATACCCATAAGCCTAGCTCACCTGAAACCTGTGCTCTAGAAAGTACCAATCAAGACAATCTAGAAGGGGGTCTTGAAATAATTTGTTTTTGGAATCTGTAAGATTCCACCTCGTTGACCCTATGTGTTCTGTGGGTAGTCCCTCCTTGCCCCAACTCTACTGATGAGTCTGCTGAATGAATCCGACTTCCATCTGCTCATGGGCCAAGATGTGGACTAGAAAAGTTGAGTTCAGAGAAAGTAGGCATGATGAGATTTGTGCAGCATCCTTCCTTTGTCTGTTCTCTTTAACCAGGCAGAATGACTAGGCAGAATAATTCAACTGCAGGAAAACACCAAAAAAAACCCATTATCTGGGCAAATATTCAATGGTGGGGGGGGGGGAGGCCCAGGGGCAGTGGCTTTCTACATCATGGCCCTAAATCAGTCCTCCTAAGAGATCTGGAATTCTCTTAGGAAGCTTGAGGCCAGGTTTACAGAGACTGTGTTACTTTTTTAGTCTTTACAAGAACTATGACTCAAAAGCCACCATTGGTCAGAGAGATCAAAAGCTTGACAAGAAATGCTCCCCCAAGTCCCAGGACTTGTCCCTTAATCATCTCTCAAATAGATGTGCCATTTTAAGGCCTTGCTTAATACTTTCTAGTCAGATACAAGCCTTCCAGAACCCAACAGGATCCATAGTACCATTATTAAGAACAATTTTCCAAAGCCGAACCAACTTCCTGTCTGTTCACAGGAAGCAGGCAAGTAAGGGGAAGCCTCGCTTTCTGCAGCTTCCAACTACAGTTCTGCCACCCAGGCTGCAGAAAGGCCCCCACAAGATCTAAACCTGAGTCCTACCACTCAAATGTGCCCCATCCCCAAGGTCCTTTCCATCTTGGCCTCTGGTATAACACAAGGCTCAAGAACCTCAGGCCTAGCAGGGCACACACCTGTAATCCTAGCTACTCAAGAGGCAGAGATCAGGAGGATCACTGTTCAAACCCAGCCCAGGCAAATAGTTTGAGAGACCCTATCTCGAAAAAACCCCTCACAAAGAAGGGCTGGTGGAGTGGCTCAAGGTGTAGGCCCTGAGTTCAAGCCCCAGTACTGCAAAAAAAAAAAAGAACTCAGGCCTGGATATTCTACTTCCCCTTGCATTAAACCCCATCTTATTCTATTCTTAAGGAGTCATCCTCTCCTACCCGGGCAATTCAATGCTAGCTCTGGGAGGTTCTGTTGTTAGGACTGGGCTGTACTCGAAAGATCTAACAAAAGCCTTGGAGGCTCACACATCCAACCTCATCTCTTTGACATCCTTCTTCCACTAACAGAGCCGACCAACTTACCTATAGCTGGGACCTGGTCACTGATAGGTAAGGGTGGAAGCTAGGCCTACCGGCCTGGAGCTGCCTTATCACATCAGGTCCCTATCTTCCAACATTGGCCAGAGTAAAGTCCCACGTGTAATCCCCTCCCGCCTCAGTCTTTCCCTGGCCCTATCCTCCACGTAGGTGAACCCAGCCTAAGTTCCACGAGGGAGAGGTAGGTTTCATGCACTTCCAACAGGGAGCCAAGCTAAGATGCGTTCTATTACTGGGCTACGGTCGGAAACCGGGTGAGGACCACAAGCCTCGGCTGCAACAGGCAGGCACCCTTACCCATGCAAGCTCTGGAACGAGCCAGTGGCGCTGCCCATCCCCGGATCTTCGCCAGCCGGTGACAGAACGTGGGGTTGGGGTCTGCCCGCTAGCCTGTCAGCAAAGCTTGCAAGATTTGAGCAGGCCGAGCCAGGCCAGACGGGGCGGGGCCCGAGAGACCCATCCGGACTGTCCCGACCAAAGAAAAAGGCCTGGTCACAGCGCAGGCCGGCGCCCTAGCCATGGCACAGCTCGACCCGGATTAGCGTCTGTCTAGCTCTCAGAGCTCCCCCACGGCCGCTGCTTCAGAGGACCGGCGGGAGGCGGAGCCGCGCGCGACACATGGCCTGGGCCCCGCGCGGCTTCGGGCCGCCAGGGGGGTGAGGAGGGGAGGGGCCTCCTGGGGACTCTCAGCAGAAGCTCCGGGCGGCCCAGAGCGCGGTTCCTGCGGCCCAGCCCCCGCCCCGGCGCTCTGGCCCCAACACTCACCCGAGGGGCTGGTACGATGGCGGCAGCAGCGGCGGCAACCCAGCGCGGTCTGCGACCGACTGTCCCTTCCCCCCTGCCTTCCTTAGCTCGCCTCGCTGCACTCTGGGAAACGGAGTCCCGCCGCTCTTCTTTCTGGCACTAGCGCGCTAGGACAAAACTACAGCTCCCGAAATGCTATGCGCAGAGGCCCGAACACGGCCCGCAGCGCGGGAGGAGAGGCTAGGCCAGTGAGGGAGGCTGCCGGGGCGAGCCCCTGAGAATTGTGGTCTAGCGGAAACCTCTGGAACTCAGAGTTGGCGCCAGGGAAGGGTCAGGGCTCTGTTGTCGCCCGGTCCCAGCTGGCCTGGCCCCGCCCAGGTTGTGTAGCCGACTGTAGCTGTCCCCGCCTCCAGGGGAGCCTGGCCTGGCCCAGAGCTAGCGCAGCCGCCCCTTCTAGGGCCCCTAGGCTGTGTGCGATGGCGAAGTCACCACCCTTTTGAGGCTGCTAGTTCGGCTCTCCGTGTGGCCTTAGCCAGCCAGGGTGGAACCCCACCGCATCTGCTGTCCCAATATTCGGGAACCCCCGGCTGGGGCTAGTCGAACCCTAAGCTGGTTTCAAGCAAACTTGGCTTTTCTCAGGCCAGAGACTCAAATGCCCCTCAGGTGGGTTTGACTGGAAAGGTTATTCTCGCTTGGATTTCCAGAGTTATTTTCAGAACATTCTAAGATTTTTTATTTTTTCAGCAGACAGGGCAGCTATGAGTTTAGTTTTTATTAAAATAAAACTGGCTCACCCAAAGTTTCCCCCTCATTGAAGTGACTACATTGTAAATAATTCTTGCTCTTCACTTTCAATGCCTTTTCCATGGTAACACACATTTAAAGGAAGGCCTGTCTCTAGGTCAGGCCTATGCTGGGCAAATGAATCTGCAGCTAAAGTAGAGACCACAGGAAAGGAAAATGGCTCCAAGATTTCTCCAAGCAGCGCTAAAGCCTTTCCTCATGGTCAGAGGTCTCTACACACTCCAGTTCTTCCAGAAGTTTTTACACCTTTCTCCAACCCCCATCCCACTCCTGGTGATGACTGATCAGACCAGGCTGAGCCTCCATTACATCTCAGGTCTGTCCAGACTAGATGCTTCTTTTATCACTCAGCCACCAAGAATTCTGCATTGGCCTCTTAGTGGTACATCTGCATCTGGGACCTCTCCCCACTGCCCTAAAACCAAAACACTACATAGGTTGTGTGCATACTACCTCCAGACACCAAAGAGGTTCAGGGGAGTGCTGCCAAGAGTTTCAAGAGACTCAAAGCATGGAGTTGGAAGTGTGCCTCCAGGGTTCAAGCCCAAGTACAGGGCGGGAGGGGGGGAACAAACAGCAGACCTCCCTTCAATGAACAGGAGCTCAATGATACACTGCCAGTGCTTGGGAAAGCCCCTGTCCCCCTTTCACGGAAAGAGTGGGGACTTGTGAGACCGGCCCAGTAAGGGCACTGCTGTGCTTCCACCACCTTATTACCAGCCTAGGAAAGTAATCACCCTAGGAAAGCAGAGACTCAACCCCTGCCCAAAGGGGGCACAAGCTATGGTGCACTCTTCTTCCCCACTAGAGACTTGTTTTCCAGTTCACTACCACGGGACCAGAAAGCAAACAGATACTAGAGTTTTAGGGCCATTCCAACTAGCAACCACAAACAAGTGTCCACAGGCAGGTGGCTTGGTCCATAAATAACAGAGAATGGAGTCATATTTTAGGAAGCCTGGGGAAGAATCCATTTATGCCCCCAAAGTCCATAGTAAACAGGGCTAGTTTTAAAAAGGTTTTAAAGGCCTTCTCCCCCTCCCCATTAGCTTTGAGCTAAATTACTTGGAGCTATAGATAAAAATGTTACCCTCATCCTCTCCAATATCCAATCTAAAGATAAAGGCAGCCAAAAACATGAGTCAAAGGGTCACAAATACCAACTCCTTAATGCCTTCTGATCCAGTTCTTTCACAATTAAGGTGTACCAAGGCCAAGGTATATATACAAGAGTCCTTGTGCCTGAAGGAGCCATGGCTGGTTCTAGTTCTAGTCTTATTTAAGTAACTGCTTGTGTAACAGACACTGTATTAAGCCTAAGAGATGAAAGGGCGACCAAATTTCAACTGCTGCTGGAATTTCAAGAGGGAATTTAAAACCCTCAGAGGTAGAAGGAACTAAACAATTCACAGGTTAGTTCGCAGTTGCACCTTGTTAGAAGGACACAGGGGAGTCGGAGCACTGGTTGCTCAAACCTATAATCCTAGCTACTTGGGAGGATGAGATCAGGAGGATCGTGATTTGACACCAGCCAGGGGAAATGGTCCAAGACCCCATCAAACCAAGCAAAATAGGAGGATGCTCTACTCAAGCGGTAGAGCACCTGCTTTGCAAGTGGGAAGATGAGTTCAATCCACATTCCCTCCCATCCCCCCCCCCCCCCCCCCCCGCAAAAAAGGGGTCTGGCCTAGTAGCTCAAGTGGTAAAGGGTGTTGCCTAGCATGAGGCCCTGAGTTCAAACTCCAGTACCACCAAAACAAACAAAAATGACACAGGAAAAAAACAATCCACGGACAAAGTGGGACCATTTGGAGCAGTTTCCAAACTCTGGAGTGAACTGAACCAGGAACTTTATAAAGGCCTTATAAGGCCAGACTTAGAGCTACTTTATGGAGAAATCTCATCATTGAAGCATCTCTATTCTCAAGGTCAGCCTGGTCCTTCAAACAGGCCAAGGCCTAGTTCCCTGTATTTCATGGGCACTTAGCTGAATTTTCATAAAAATAAAATAGTGAAACTCAAATAAAAACCTTACTTTTTAATTTTTGCCAAACAAACACAGTGAAAACTTTAGTCTGACTAATTGTACAGAAAATAGAATTTGTAACCAGTAGCAAACATAACAGGATAAACCTAACTCCCTGGCAAGCTGAATCTCCATCAACAGGTCACCCAGATCCCCTTGCAAATGGCCCCTTCAGTAGAAGTCCCAAGAGGCAGAGGCACAGATCAACTAGTCCCCGTCAGAATCATAGGCTGGACCTGGAAAGGGTAAGCATGAAAAGGAGAACTGATGTTATTGGATCTCTTATCACTACACACAGCAGAGTTGTCTCTGATTGCTAGCCAACCTTAAGATGTGGTTTTCCCAAACCCACAGTCCCTGGGCATCCCACCTGCATCCCTCCAGGATGTTTCAAGTTCAGTGGTTCTGAAGCCTCTGCTTTAACCAGAATCTGCAACGTGAACTGGGGAGGAAAGGCAGACAAAGTCACAATGCTGGTGTCACCAGTGGAGAGTCTCAAGCTCCAAACTCCTGCTTCAGGAGGAAACAAGTGAGGGTATCAGATCACCAGCAAGAGTCCAGCTAAGCCTCAGTACTGTCAACTAAAATAAAGGGAGTTCAACATCCGTCTGAGGATTCCTTGGGCTGGAAGGAGTCCAGGAGTTCCTCAGGCCATAGAACAACCCATTCACATTCCGTGCTTCTTACGGATTACAGCCATGGCAAGCAGACGATCCTTCTCTCGAAGTTCTTCGCGCAGCTTAGCCTCGGTGAGACGCAGGTGGCGGATGCTACCCTTCATCTCTTTCATCTTTACTTCCATCAGCGCCAGGATGTCACGCTGTTCGTTCAGCTTGCGCAAGAGCTCCTCCTCCGTGGTGCCTGACGACAACGAGTAAGAGTGATCGGAGCCAGTATCAGGGAAGCCTTCTTCCCCTACCACCACCAACTGGGGGCCCATAGGGCACTCGGCAGCCTCTAGCCCTGCTGTAGCAGCTTCTAGCTCCGACGCGGCGGCGGCGGCTGCTGCGCCCTCTGCGGATGCGAACTCCACCTGCACAGTAAGGTCGATGGGCTTCACATCTTCTCCCGCGGGAGTGGTGGGCGCGGGCGGCACAGGTCCCGGAGCCTGGCTGCTGTCTACAGCTGCCTGAAGAGTGAGAAGCACCGCTGCGGAGGCTGATACCAGGTTCGGCTGCAATTGGGCGGTCTGAGCATTGGCGACGGACGGTGACGACTGCTGCTGCTGCTGCTGCTGTTGCTGTTGCTGTTGTTGTTGTTGTTGCCTGCGGCGGGCGGCTGCTGCCCCTGCGGGTCTCCGCGCAACTTTGCGCTCATTTACGCCGCGCAGCGGGAAGATGGTGGGAACGCGCACTGTGTAGGTCTTACGGCCACCCTGGAAGTGAACGCTGCAGAGACGGTGGCCCGTGGTGGGCTGGAAGGTAGAGAAGCACCCACTGACGCCAGCACGGGACACGTTCTTGAGCCAAAGGCGCCGCAGCTCAGCATCCTTGGGAAATGTGTAGAAATGCAATGCCTTGTCCCGGTGCGAATTATTGTAGCAACCTGGTACGCAGCACGTAAAGCCAGGCATGGCTGCGCCGCGCGGCCCGGCCCGGCCCACCGGCCTCCTGCGCTCTTCGACGGTCCGGTCGGTCCGCCGCCGCCAGCCCCTCGACGGGCCGCGCCGCGCGAGGCCTTGGGCGGCCTCCCACTACTGCCGCCAGGAGCAGTCGGACAGGCCGGGCGCCCCGTGCCCAGAATACGATTTCCGCTGGCCCGCGCCGCACCGCGCCGCCCGCCCGGCCACCCGCCTGCCTGCGCTCCGGAGTCGGCCCCGGGGACGCCGCGAAGAACCGCCCGGAAAGGAGGACTACGCCCCCCACAATGCACCGCGCCAGAAGCCCCTCACTTCCGGGGCGGGGGCGTGCTTATTCCGGCCGCTTTCCAGGGTACCGCGATAGCCTTCTCAGAGCAGATTCTTTTCTCCATCCGATTCGTCCTCCGCGAACGAAAGAAGTGTATTCTGTTGGAATGTTGTCGCATAGACTGCACCTCACAAGCATCCGGAGTCTTGATGGGCGGGGGCGCGTGCCTCACCACTGCGCAAGCGCTATGAGTACGAGCCCATGAAGACTACAAATCCCGTGATGCGTCGCGAGAACTCAGCGGCTACTGGCGCGAGCGCCGCCTAAGGGAAAGATCGGGTTACTGTGAACCAGGATTCCGGCTGAAGCCGGCCAAGAAGCAGTCCCCCAATTCCCGGTGCCTTTGAGCTTATGGTGTTCTTTAGTGGGGAGCTGGAGAAAACCTGTGTGCATTTCTCTGAAGGATCTCAGGATCATTTCTCTGCTTTGAGGTCATTTTTTTCGACTTAGCCACTGCCTGCTTTGACACACTGACTCCATAAACTAGGTCATTAATAGTTGCCTACTATGCGCTGGGCACGTGGCAGGGAGTTGCGGGAACCCTGACCACAAAGATGAGGATACTGTTTTGAATAATAGATGAATAGGTACCCGTAAGTGGATGTCTAGTCAGATATAAACGCTAAAAAGGGATGAACAGGAGAAAATGGTGGACGGGACCCCAGGAAGGTAGGAGGATGGAAACCTTGGAGGGTATTTTAAACCAGATGGCCCCACCCCCACCCTGGGATCCATTCTGTTAATTACTTGAGGCCAGAAAGAGCTAGGCCCGCCATTAAAGCGCCTGGAAGGGGCGCCCGGATATCAGCAAGCTAAAAGACATCAAACTGGGCCATGTTTGGAGGATTTGGGATTTTATTTTACAGAGGACTGGAAATTTTCAGGGTTTTAAGCAAAGGAATTTACATTATTAAGAGACACCTGACTGTATCCCTTGCTTTCTTTATGAAAAATGTTTTGAAGCAGGACATCAGCTTTGAAAAACCAGGGAGGAGCCAGGCAATTGATGTAGGGGGTTAACTACAAACTAGCCTTCCTTTACTGAGTACCCTTTTTCTCCCACTTTGTCTTGCTCTACACCCTTTCTGTTGACTGTCCTTCCGCATTTTTTGTTTCCTGGTATCAGAGCACAGGTATGAAATGGAAACCTAGTTTATATTATTTCTAATAGATACAAAACCAAAATAAGTATATTTAAAGTTTATGAAAACACTCCAGGCTAACTCTTTTTGTTTGTTTGTATCTTTGTGGTTTTGTTTCTTTGTTTCATAAAGAATGGAGAGTTGGCTGTGCCCAGGTGGCCCAGGCTTGTAATCCTAACTATTTAAGAGGCTGAGATTGGAAGGATCATGGTTCTGTTGTAGTGCTGATAAACAGAAATTCCAGATTCTTACATCCTACGTGGATGCATTCAGGCAGGATATGTAATTTTAGCGAGGGTGGTTATAAAAGTTTATTAAAGATAAGGGGGTAAAGTTACAATACACCATGATGGATGGGCCAGGTGTGAAGCAGAAGCAGCGAGCTCTCTATTCTGGTATTTTAGTTACAGTGTTTTAAAAGGGCTTGATTGCTCCTGTCTATAATCCTAGCTACTCCGGAGGCAGAGATCAGGAAGATCATGGTTCAAATCCAGCACAGGCAAATAGTTAGAGAAAATACCCAACGCGAACAGGATTGGAAGAGTGGCTTAAGAGGTAGAGCAGTGCCTAGCAACCATGAGGCCCTAAATTCACACACCAATGCCACCAAAAAAAAAAAAAAAAAAAGTTGCCCTGTTCTGTGGGAGGGAAAAACCTGATCAGTTCTCCATCACCAATAACCAATAATATGCAAGTGGGGAGCGATTGGGGTGGTCCCTGGACTAGGGTGTGAATAATCTGGGTATACTTGCAGTTGAAGAAAGGGTCAGAAAGAAAATGTTTGATCTGAAATACAATGTTAAATCATACATGTTTTAAGAGTCCTGATCTTTTCTATGTCCTACCCTACCTCAGTTCGAAGCCAGCCCAGGCAAATATTTTGCAACACTACATCTCCAAAGTAATAAGAGAAAACCTGATATCAGTGGCTCACAAATGTAATCCTAGCTATTAAAGAGGCAGAGATTAGGAGGATTGTGGTTTGAAGCAAGCTCATAAATAGTTCTAGAGACCTTATCTGGAAAATACCCTACACTAAAAAGGGTTGGCAGAATGACTCAAGTAATAGAGTGCCTGCCTAGGAACCATCCACTTCAAATTAAAAAAAAAAAAAATAGAGGTTTAGGCCCTGGGGCCATAGCTCAAATGGTAAATGCTTGTCTAGCATGCATAAGATCCTGGGGTTCAAGCCCCAGTACAAAAAAAAAAAAGAAAAAAAAAGACAACAACAACAAGAAAAGTTAAAAACAAACAAAAGGGGCTGGTGGAGTGGCTCAGTGGTAGAGTGCCTGTCTAGCAAGCTTGAAGCCCTGAGTTCAAACCCCAGGACCTCCAAAAAAAAAAAAAACCACAAAAAAGAAAACTCATAGAGGAAAAACAAACAAAAAAAAACACAAAAGGAAAAAAATCAAAAAACATGAAAAAATAGAGCTTTTCATGTTTATGAAAATACAGCTCATGGTTATGGAAATACAGAAGTCCAATGTCACAGTGCTGACACATAGTTTTTTGTTTTTATCACAAAGGAGATCTGTGTTTAAAATGTAGAAAACTATAGGACACTATAAGGAAAAAAGAACCTTACTCAGTTTCAACACCCAAACATTACCACTGCATTTCTGTTTACAGCCAATGTGATCATTGGTTATTGTGTGGGCTTCACTCATTTTTTTTTTTTTTTGGCAATGCTCAAACCACAGTAATTTGCATATCCTTCACCTCAAACATTCATCATCTTTGCAGTGAGATCACTTGAAATCTCCTCTGGCCATTTTGAAATATATATTATACTGTTACTAACTATGGTTACTCTAACCGTGTAATGGTTCACTCACTTGTAATAAGAGAAAATCCAAAAAAAAAAAAAAAACAGAAAATCTCATTCTTCCTAGACTAGGCAGCTGAGATCTATAGCATGAACCCCTTCAAATCCAGATATGTATTATCCAGTGTGTGTAGCATAAGGTGAAAAATATGCATCTACTAGCATGAATCATTTATACAATGGTATAAACAGAAATGTGCATGCATTTTACAAGTTTAAATTTTTATAAAATTTTTCTAAAAGGTAGCTTGAGCCTGTACTCCTAGCTACTTGGGAGTCTTAGATCAGGAGGATCAAGTTTGAAGCCAGCCAGGGCAAACAGTCCAAGAGACTCCATCTCCAAAATAACCAGAGAAAGTTAGGACTGGAGTTGTGACTCAAGTGGAGAGTAGGTAAGCCCTGAGTTCAAACCTCAGTCCCACCAAAAATTAAATAATTTTTTATAAAATGTGTGCATAAAGCAAGGCATGGTCACGCATGCCTATAATCCCAGCACTCAGGGTTACATAGTAAGACACTGTCAAGAAAAAAGAAAAAAAAAGTGAGTGCAGTTGAGATAAAATTCAGCAAAAGATCTTTGTATCTGTTACGTATTTTCATTGTCATACAGTTGTTGAATGAGGAGAGGTCACATTGATATTTAGACACAGAACATGAAGATTATGCTCAATTGGCTGGGTGCTGGTGGCTCACGCCTGTACTCTTAGATACTCAGGAGGCAGAGATCAGGAAGATCGAAGTTCTAAGCTGGCCCAGGCAAATAGTTCTCAAGACCATATCTCAAAAAAAACACATCACAAAAGGGCTGGTGGAGTGACTCAAGGTGTGTAGGCCCTGACTTCAAACCCCAGTACTGAAAAAAAAAAAAGATTGTGCTCAATTAAACTCTACCTTCAGTGCATAAGACCACCTGTAATCTACACTTAAAAGTCTACATTCAAACATATTTGGGAAGCTGAACTTGTAGCTCATTTGTAGAACATACAAGGCCCTGTGTTTGATCCAAAGCACCAAAAAAATTTTAAAAAAGCAAAAGCATATATGGAATGAATTGTTTTCTCCCCCACCTTCACGGCTCCTCTGCTCACCCTCTGTCTTGGTACCTCTGGAGAAAGGCAAGAACCTCATCACATGTCTCTCTGCTTCCAATCTAGCTTCCTCTACAATCTGTTCTTCACATGGCTGCCAAAGAAAGTCTGTTATGTCATACCTCTGCTTAAACCCTCCAGTAGTTTCCTATTCCATTTAGAAAACTGTCCAAACCTCATCCTAGAGTCTGCAAAATCCCACACATTCTGGCCCTTGAGACTCTTTCTCACCTCTCTCTCCTTTCCTACTGTTGACCCAGTGTTTTTTTTTTTTTTTTTGGTTTGGGTTTTAGGGTTTTTTGGTACTGGGGATTGAACCCAGGGCCTCAAACTGGCACTCTTACCACTTGAGCCACATCCTTTTGTTTGTAGTTTGTTTTTTGAGATAAATCTCAATGACTTTGCCTGGTCTAGCCTTGAACTCTTCTGATACTCCTGCCTGCAACTTTCACATAGCTGACTATAGAAGTGAACCACCATGCTTGGCTCTATCTTGGTTTTGGGTTTTGTTTTTTTAAACAAATACTAGCTGGAGGCAGTAGCACTCATTTATACTCATTCTCAATAGTCTTCGGGCTGAGGAAGAACAATCTCTGGAGCTCAGGAGTTCAAGGACATTTTATAGCAAGACCCCCATCTCAAAACAACAAACAAGTAGTAAATGTAAAAGTTTAATCAATGATGTGAACACAGAATAATGCTGTGCAAAGACTTAAGCTCATGTTTTGAACTTTTTTTGAAAGATTTTTAGATTTTTACCATATTCTCCAGTTCAAGAAATATATACAGAATTTGTGTAGTGTGTATGTTGTGAGTGGTGGTGAAGATTAAACCCGAGGCTCTGCACATGCTAGGCAAAGGCTCTACAAATGCGCCACATCCCCAACCCTAAAAATAAATTTTTAAGAACTGGATTTTGGTGGTTGATAGTGACCATGGAAATGTTTCTACAAAAGGCTATCAAATTAAGTCTTATAACACACGATCATATGTAAATGACAAGGAATATGATATGCTTTTCTTCTACTGTTTTCTTAATTTGAGAAGCAAGACTCTAATTTTTTATTTGCATCATTTTTTTCTTAAACACAAGCACAAATATGCCTGTGTCTATCTGGAGTATCTGATACTTTGCATCTGACCTAGGAGTAGGTTATGGCAAAAAGAATTCCACGGGAGCCAGGGGCCAGTGGCTCATGCCTGAAATCCTACCTACTCAGGACGCAGAGATCAGGAGGATCACAATTGGAACCAACCCCAGGCAACAACCAACAGTTCAAGAGCCCTGATCTCAAAAATAGGATTGGTGGAGTGGCTCAAGTGAAGGCCCTGAGTTCAAGCCCCAGTACCAAAAACAAACAACAAACAAAAAAATTTTTCCAGGAGAGAATCAGAATCAAACTTCTAATTCAGTTGCTATAAAAACTATGAAAGTTAGTGGTGCAAATGTCAATTGCTGAAAAACATGGTAGGCAATGGTAGGCATAAACAGAATATGGTAAGCATCTAGAATATTAACAAAACTACTTCTACCTCTTCCTCTATTCATTATGCCTCCTTTGGTTCTTATCTTTCCTCCCCTCCCCACAAACCTTATTTTTTTTTGGCAATGCTAGCACCCATGGCCTTACTTATTCTGGGCACCACTAAACTACACTACCTCCAGCCCAACAAAACATTGATAACTAATTTCACCCCATGATTACATATAATTAGAAACCTTAACATTTGTGTTGCATCAAAAGAGCCCAGTGGCCTCTATGACACAGACCCAACAGATAAGAGTCATCTTTGCAACTGTAAATATGAACAGATCACATATAGTATAATCCCCTCCCCCCACTTCTTGGTATACTGACTCCCCTCTTTTAGGAGAGGAAGATAGGAAGGCTTTTAATGATGCCTTGGCTTATGTAACTAAAGCACTGAATCATTAAAAATTTTAATATTAGAGCCGGGTGCCGGTGGCTTAAGCCTGTAATCCTAGCTACTCATGAGGCAGAGTTCAAGAGGATTACCATCAAGAGCCAGTCTGGGCAACAAGTTCTCCAGATTCTGTCTCGAAAACACCCAACCAAAAAAGCTGGTGGAATGGCTCAAGCCAGAAGTGACACCTGCCTAGGAAGCGAGTTCAAACCTCAGCACCGCCAAAATAATTCTTATGGTTATCATCCGTAACTTCCACACAAGGAAACCAAGACCTGGACTGGTTTGCCCAGCTTTAAATCCGGCAAGGCTGCCTCCAACATTGCAACCACCCGTCACAACGCAGAGCATAGCGAGAACTACAATTCCCGTGGGGCAGTGCCATTTCATCGCGAGAATTCTCTTAAATGCGGCGGCGGGAACGCGGTGCTTGAAGTTGCGCGGGCAGTTGGGAGGGGCGGTGTCTGAGAACATGGCGGACTTCTACAGTTCTGACAGCGAGCTTACGACACGTACGTTGCTGCGGCGCGTGCTGGATACAGCGGATTCGCTCACCCCGCGGCGACGTCGGAGTGCCCAGGCTGAGTATGTGTCAGTGCTGCATGAGCAACTAGAAGGACTCGGAAATGGGCTCGGGGTGGGAGCCAGCGCCAACCCTGTTTGGACTGGGAAAGTGAGTCCCAGAGAAGGGCAGAACCCAGAACCCCGAGAACTGGCTCCAATCCCAGAGCCGGGCTCGGCTCAGCTGTTTATGTCCCCCATCCCTGAAGCTCCAGGAGGCCAGGCCTCGGACAGCAAATCCCAGCTGTGTCCGAGTCCTGGACCTCTGGAAGCAAGCAAAGGATAGCTTCTCTGTTCTCTGGGTTATTTCGTCCACACCAGCCGGGGATGTGTGTCCTGGCATGTACCCTCAGCTCCCAGGTAATCGCACCTTTCCTTGCACAGTCAGTCTTACTTGCTCTGTGGCTCCATCTGGACGAGCACAGTTTAAGGCAAAGAGGGAGGAAGGAGGAGGGAACGGTGGGGGGGGGGAGGGGGAGCGGGATGAACTTTCTCCTGTTTGAAGTGTCTCTGGAGGAGGGCTGTGGTGAGCTCATGGGGGAGTGGGCCTGGCGTCTGCCAGACTAGGACTGGGACAGTTGGAATCCTTTTCCTTTACAGGAATGGGAAGTCATTCATGATAGGTTTTAGACTTATGAGTGATGAGGTGGGAGTTGTACCTTGAGGAACATTTATCTGACTCTGATACGAATTTGGTGACCCATGTGGCAGTTTCACTTAGACCCTGACAAGTACTTAAAGGGTTAAAATTAGCTAACTACCTTCTTGGGTTGTTATTTTAGTGTCTGGATAGAGATTCTGCCAATTTCTCCTCTCCTCTGTGTGACTAACCCTTACTTATCTTTATGATTCTGCCTCAATCAAGTCACTTCTGTGAAGCTTTCTTCTCTTTTTTGGGCAGTACCTGGATCCTTCCCTCTTTGGTTGGGTCAATCATAATCCCTCTTTTCCCATACCCCAGGGCTCTCCTTTGTTCACCCCCCTGTTGACACAGAGCTGGGACCAGGTGCTGTGGAAGGCACAAGTGTTTTTTGGGTTACTGTCCCTGAGGGAAAAGGGCTTTAGGCCAGAAACACCTGGTGAAGGTATGTCTCTGCATTCTCTAGCCCCTTGCCCCACTCCCTTTTGTAATTCTCAGAGCCGTGGTCTTTACACAGGGCCCAGAAAACCCTGCTTGAAACACCTTCCTCCAGGAGACTGAGGAGCCAAACAGAGACGACTGCCAGACAGCGTTCCCACGGAGCCAGGGTAAGTGCACAGTCCACTGTCACTCTAGGACCCTGGATGCCTTCATGGTCCTTGAGTTCTGTTTCTGTTCTGGAGCCAACCTTGAGAGAATCTCAAGGCAAAAGAACAGACTGGTTGCATGGTGCTTTCACTCATAGTCTATTGGCAGGTTGGCCCACGGTCAGGCCAGTGGGTCCCTAGAGGAAAAGACACCGCGGACTCTGCTGAGGAACATCCTCCTAACTGGTAAGTGGCCACTGGCCTCCCAAAGTTGGTTGCCACTCTAACACCAGTTCTGTGGTATCCCTCTTTGTTACCCTATCATTTCCTTGGGGTTTCTGCAGCTCCAGAATCTTCCATTGTGATGCCAGACTCAGTGGTGAAGCCAGTGTCAGCGCCGCAGGTGGTCCAATCCTCCAGACGGAAAAGCAGTCGGGGCAGGTACACATTGAACTCTCTTGTGGGCTGTTGGGCCGTTCTGGTCTGGGAGTCTCTTGGGGCTCCAAAAACTGGAATTGGGCTTCCTGGACCATGTGAGATAAAACTTCATTCTTATAGCTTGGAGCTGCAACTTCCTGAACTTGAGCCCCCTTCAACCTTGGCCCCAGGTCTTCCAGCCCTTGGCAGGAGAAAGCAAAGGCTGAGATTGTCAGTGTTTCAGCAGGAAGTGAACCAGGAACTGCCACTCTCTCAAGGTGAAACCTGAGATACCACCTGTTTTACTTTCCTGTCCTCTGCTGAGGTGGGAGAGAGAGGGCTTTAATGGGCCTGAGTAACTTACCATAGTTTCTTCTTTTTATATTCCCTCAATGGTCACTGACAGAGCCTTCTGGGAATGCTGATGCCTCTGCCCTCACCAGGTACTATTGCTTGTCCCAGGGGTTGGTAGAGAACAGCGGTTAGGGACTGATCAAAGAAATCTGACCATACTGCTCCATGCTGGTTTAGTCTCACTGCAATGGTGCCACATTCTAAGAGATGAGAGCCCCAGGGCAGATGGGGGAATGCTCTGGGAAAACTGGGCCTCAGGGACCTGACTGTCCTGGTACCTCCTCTCTTCAACCAGTTCTCTCAACCTGACCTTTGCCACACCTCTTCAGCCACAGTCGGTAAGGAGACCCGGTTTGGCCCGCAGACCACCCACCCGTCGGGCTGTAGATGTGGGTGCCCTTTTGCAAGATCTTAGAGATAATTCCTTGGCCTCAGGTAAGGTTGAGATTTCCCCCTAACAACTTTTGAGGAGGTGCTGCTGAGTCCAGGGTTGCTTCCTTCTTCGTGGGGTCAAGGACAGTGGCCAGTAGGTGTACTAGGAATTGCTCTCTTTCCACTAGGTGCCTCTGGCCTTGGTGGGGCCCCAGTCTTACTGTCTCTCTGTCTTCTAGGACTTCATGTTGTTGAGCTACAGGGGTGAGGGTAGTAGGAAAGGGGTGTGGTGTAGTAGCTAGAACTTGGTCGAGGGTGAAGGAGGCTAGATTTCATGATCAGTTAGCCATTTAAAGCTAAACCTGGGATCCTGATTCTAGAAGATAAATTCACCAGAGAAGGAGAGTTCTGTGCAGAGGGAGGAGTCAAGAGTAGAGATGTGATAAGCAGTTGTGGGGAGGCAAGCTGTGGAGGCCTGGAGATGCCAGGCCGTGGAGCAGGAAGGTAGCAAGGAGAGCTGAGGAAGAGAGCTAAGGTTCCAGGTCATCTCTCTCTGAAAGATCTCTCAAGCTGGGCAGATCCTTGGGATCTTTTGCCCAGGCCCTGGCAACTCTGGGCCTGGAATATACTGAGTGCCAGCTGGCCCTTGATCTCCAGGTAATAGCCATAGAACCCCTGCTGCTGCTCTGCCAACGGACACAGTGTTGGAAGACACTCAGCCCTTCTCACAGCCCTTGGTTGGCTGCTCCCCCAGTTTGCATGACTCCCTGCCTCTCCCCACTCATACTGCAGTTGAAGACTCTGAGAGGGCTGTGGGTCACAGGACACGGAGCAGAGGACCCAGGCTGCAAAACCACAGTGAGTACATGGAGCAGGTGTCCTAGAGCCAAGCTTAGCTTGGGCAAGAGTTTCCCTCCCCAAAGCTATATGTGTACCTCAGAGCTCCCTGGCTAGGGGTCCTTTTTGTTTTTTTTTTTTTTTTTGCGGCACTGGGGCTTGAACTCACAGCCCTATACCTTGAGCCACTCCACCAGCATTTTTTTGTGATGGGTTTTTTTTCGAGATAGGGTCTGGCACACTGTTTGCCTGGGCTACCTTCAAACTGTAATCCTCCTGATCTCTATCTCCCGAGTAGCTAGGATTACAGGCGTGAGCCACCGTCGCCCGGCAGTAGGGGTCTTTTCATCCGACAGCAGAGTCAGTGTTGGTCCAGGAGATTCCAAGTCGGTGCCCTGATGCTGCCTCTGACTTGGTCTCTCTTCAGTGAATGGGAATGACTTTTCTCCATCTTTACCCTTCTCAGAGCTATACCCTTGGCCTACTACTTCTCAAGAGGTGACAGAAGGAGAGGGATTCCGGGAGGCGGAGGTGGCCAAAGAGCTAGAGGGATCTTCAGGGGATGAGGATACCTCTGACAGGCCAAGTAAGAGGCCCATTGCAGAGATCAGTAAGTGAATGGTGACAGCTGTATTCAGGCCTTGGTACACTGAAGGGGCTTGACTGGGATGTTCCTGGCAATTGGTGGTATTAGGAGACAAGGGAAACTCTGAGGGGCACTTGCTTGATTTTTGCTAGGTGATGCCCTTGAGAAATAGGACAGTGGGACTGGACTTGCACAGCTGGCTGATGTGGTCAAACCTGAGCTTTCTGTGACCCTGCCCTTTTTCTACAGCATGTCCAGAATTGGCCTCCAGTACCCCTGAGTTCCTCCAGGCCAAGCAACCACATGAGTTTCTCGATCCAACCCCATCACTTGGTGTCACAATGTAAGAATTTATGACCCTGTTACTCATGGGTTTCTTGGGAAGAGGGTAGGTACTGAGGTTGGCATTGGGCACCCTTACCCACAGGTATACAGATGATTACCCAGCATAGCAGACTGAACATATCTTTCATCCTTATGCCTGCCTCCAAGGGTCTTAGAAGAGCCTGGCTGAGGTAGAATTTTCTGATCAGTATGTAGTCAAACAAGGCTTGCTAGGTGATGATGAGCTCAGTCGAGGCGGGCAGTGATACACTCCTGATGGGAGAGACTTTCCATTCTGAGTTCTGGGATCACAGGTCTGAGGAAGCATCAGTGTATACATGATGAGGCTAGACTAGCATGCTGGGTCCAGACTGGAGGAATGAGGGTACCAGGGAAAGAGCAGGCTTCTATGTGGTTCTGTGACCACACTGTTCCTCAATAATAGATGGTTGAAACTGCTGATCGAAGCTAATTAAGGAGAACACAGGCCCAGTCTCAGCAGGAGCCAGCAGGACTTGTCCTTGAATGGGGGCCTTCCCCTGCAGCTGTTCAGGAATTTGTGTCCCTCCTGCCCCAAGCTTGCCTTCAGAGCCTTTGGAGCCTATGCTTGCCAGGCTTCCCCGCAGGCCCCGTACTGCTGGCCCCAGACCACGTCAAGATCCCTACAAGGCTGGACTGAGCCACTATGCAAAACTCTTTAGCTTCTATGCTAAGATGCCCATGGAGAAGGCAGCTATGGAGATGGTAGAGAAGTGGTAAGTTTCAAAACCTGCATAGATAAGTAGAGGAGCCTCTCAGGTTCTGAACAGACTATTCAGTCTGATCTGCCTCAACCTTCTTGGCAGCCTAGACAAGTATTTCCAGCACCTTTGTAATGACCTGGAGGTATTTGCTGCTCATGCTGGCCGAAAGACTGTAAGGCCAGAGGACCTGGAGCTGCTGATGCGACGGTGAGTGGTCAGAAAGGGAGGCTGGATGTGACAGTGCTGATGCTCATGCTGGCTGCCCCTGTCTTCCTCTGCTGCAGGCAGGGTCTGGTCACCGACCAAGTCTCTCTGCATGTGCTTGTGGAGCGACATCTGCCTCTGGAGTACCGGCAGCTGCTCATCCCCTGTGCATTCAGTGGCAATTCTGTCTTTCCTGCCCAGTAGTGGTCAAGCCTCAACACTTGCCCTTTCCCTACCAGGGATGCCATAGCCCCACATAATATTCCAGGTCCCTTCCCCACTACCTAAATATCAATGTCACCAAAAAGGGACTCGTGGAGTTCCTTAAGTAGCAGGACACTTGCTTTGCAAGTACAAAGGCCTGAGTTCAAACCCCAGTTCCACAAAAATAAAGTGTCACAAACAGAATATTCTGCTTTTTGGTGCATATCCTGGCAGCAGCCCAGATTCCCCCTGTCCTCTGTATTTCTGACTTCCCAGCACAGCTTGGAAAATGGTATGGTTTCAGATAAAAGAGTTTTATAATAAAAATTGGGTTAGCAGTACTGGAGCACTCAGGGTGCCCACAGTGGTCCTAGCTTGCAGGCTCTGGCTCTCGAGGCCCCATGCGCTTTATGTCAGCTAATCGAAGCCGTTCCAGTACCGTCTGGAGCTGTATCACAGTGCCCTCCTGCTTCTCATTATCCTCCTCTGGAAGTTCTGACACAGGGAGCTCGAACGCCTGGCTCAGGTAGGCGATGACCGTCTGCTTGTCCAGGCTTGGGTCAATGGTCATCAGAGCCCCATGCAGTTTGGAGAGGGTCACCTCATCATGGCTGCCCCACAAGGAAAGAGAGTGATAGGCTTGAGCCTCCTTCTCTACCCTAGACACTGAGATGCCCTTTCTGCAGGGCTTGAGTAGCTTATAGTGCCTAGGAACATGCTACAGGAAGACTCTGGGGCCTTAAATGCTACCCTGAGGGAATTGCCCTATCTGTGGGATTTGCCAAGGGCTCAGTGGGCCAGTGGGCTGAAGGTCACTCACGGATTCCTGCCCAGCTCCTGCTTTAGTTCCTGCAAGTATTGTTCCTTCTCATCCTTGTACTGTTCCCACAGTTTTTGTACAAAGGGCTCACTCTGGCCTTCTTCATTCTGAGAGGGTCCATAAGGGAAGGTGAGGACACACTGATCAGAACCTAGTCAAGGCTAAGGTAGGGAATGTGCAAGTTCCTGAGCCCCACCCCCATGTACCTCTGTAAACAATAAGTGGTAGTTGAGCAAGTCTGAATTGCTGCTGTTGGGTTGCCAGCCTCCTGTCTCCATCAGCTCCTGAATTTGCTCTTCCTTCTTGAGGGGGAATGTGTTCTTGAGGATGGTGCTGTCAAGGGGAGACAGAAGGGACAACAGGGTTATGGCCGAGGCTGCCCACCTTTCACCTGTTGCCTCATGAGCTGTCCCTACTATTGTACAGAAGAACAGTGAGTTTTGAGGTTGTTGCCTTTCCTGCAAGCCTCACTTTGTCCCTTCATACCTAAGTGCCTGACCCGTGGAGACATTTGGCTTGAATTTGGGGTGGCTCAGAATGGCCTCTCACCTGAACTGCTCCATGGTTAGTAACCCCTCATTCTGAGTATCAGCATTTGTCATCTCCTTCAGCAGATGGGCTATTCTGTCCTTTTGGTTGATATATGTACTCTCTGTCATCTACAGAGAGGAAAGCATTCACTAATATGCTGCATCCTGGATTGAGGGCGGGTAGAGCTTGCCTATACTGGGGACAACGTCACTCTGAGGGGAATGGGTGGGAGTTAGGCCAAAACTCACCTTTCCCATCAAGACTGCATAGAACTGACTCATGACCTCATTGGAGCGGAAGAGTTTGATATTTTCAAAAATGGTGTAAGCCCAGGCTATGGCATCACTGAGGCCAAAGCGACGCTCCAGGAAATTGAAGAAGAAATCTGGGAACGTCTCTTTCTGTAGGGTTGAGAGAATGCTTGGTCAGCCTGTCCTAGGGTTGGTTAGACCTCTTGTGCCTTAGCACCTTCCCTCCCATCCCCCCAGAATACTCAGGATCTGAAGGCTGCTGTGCCAAATTGTCTGGTGTGACCTGACCTCCTCCTCTGTGAGACGTTCCTTCCAGGCATCCTTCAGGAGGTTTATCACATCTTTTTTGCTTGGCTTCTTATTCTCCACAAGGCCATCAAACCGAAGGAAAGAGGGGATGTTTTCCCCATAGCCCTGGAAGGCAGGATGTCAGCTCATGTCTAGGCTCCTCTGTGGCCCCACTTCCAAACACAGAAGAGCCCTAGTGGTCCCCGCAAGAAGCTGGAGTCTCATCAGCAAGGCCTGAGTGTTCTGACTTTGGCCCCAAGCTTACCCCTCAGAGACTTTCCTACCAGACCAGGAAAGAAGTCTTTTTCCCGAAGAAGGCCCTCGCCAATCTCTTCCAAGAGCACATCCACCAGCTGGTCACTGTTCTTTCCCTCAGCCAGCATTCGCCAGCGTTCTGGACCCCCGGCCACCACATCTGCAGGTGGAGAAAGGGAACTAGAGTCTAGCCCATACCCTTCAGCAGGTCCTAGGGCCCTGATGGCAATTATTACCTTCACACTTGACCCAGTCAGGGCGAGGTGTGGAAGTGCGCTGGATTTCCTGCAGCTCAGAAAAGAACTGGTCCCGCTCTTTCAGTGTACTCATGTGCAACTGCAGCAGTAGTTCATGTTCTTTGCACACCTCTTCATAGTCAGCTCTCAGGCTGTCCAACTGTGGGCAAGGTGATGGGTCTTAGGTACCTACCTGTGTGACCCTGCCGTACCTTGTCTATACCTTCCTCCCCACCAGCACCTGCTCTTGAAGATCCTTGTTGATCTTCTCCTGCATTTCAAAGTCTCTCCTGGGTATCACGTCTCCAAAGTTGGCCTTCATGGTGTTGAGTTCCATCTGCGTTCGGGTCAGGTCTTGCCGGGTCATCTTCAGAGCCAATGTTAGTTTCACAGGGTCCTCCCCCCAGACACCTGCCAGGTACCCACCAGCCTGTGTCACTCTTGTTGTATCCCAGGGCTGAATTGGATATCTTTGGGGCATACCTGAGGTTGTTCTGCTGTCTCTGCTTGGGATTCCCTGGTTCTTGTCCATAGCGCTATCAGCCTAGGGGTTTGGGCCTAGGTAGAGAAGCCTAGAAATTGTAATGCCAAGTGTCTCCTGCCCATGTGGAGTCTGAGCTGCCAGCAGTGTACCTACTTAATGATCCTATGATTCTCAGTCCAGCACAAAAGAGCCACAGCCCCATCCGGTGGCAGGGATATTTCCTACCATGTATGGGCATAGAATGAGCAGATGTTAGGAATATTGAATGAATAAGGGTAATGGTGAGAGCTAGACTTCTCTCCAGCATTTTGGAACAAGAGAAACCCAACTGGAGTTACCTGGAGACTGGGATAGTGATACATCTTCCCTCTGGTACCGTAGCTCATTCAGGTCCCCAATGAGGATCTTGCGGGCATCTCGCTCACTGAGGTAGTGCAAGTACTCCTCAGCTAAGCTCTTTCTCAGCTTGGACACCTGCTGGGAAGGTGGCTGTGTAGTAGGGGCTGGTAGTCACCACAGGGATAGGATGTGGGTTGGGGACTTATCTTGGGTTAGGAACAGGGAAAGGTGGAAGAAGAAAAGTGGCCATTATTCTTTAGGATTCAGCAAGGTACCAGTGCCTCCCATGGAGAAATTCTACTGGCAGTTGGGGCCATACAGATCCTGTGTTGAGCCCCGAAGCAGAACAGAGGGTCAAGGTAGTAGAGGTTCTGGGGAATGGAGGTGGCTCTGTATCATTCCAGGAAGAAGGGCAGATGGAGTTAATGGTTTGCCTTAGAGCTCAAGGTCAGCCCTGGGGTAGGGATGGAGCAGGAATCCAGGGGCTTGGGTACATACAACTTGATTCACCTCACTCTGCAGTGAGATCTTCTCCTCATTCTTTTTGTCTATGAGTTTTAGCAAATTCATCTTCTCTCTCTTGAGCACAGAGATTTCATCCCTCTCTTCAGCCTGCATGGCCAGGATCCTCTGGTTGCATTCCTCATTCATAGAAACAAGCTTGGCCTTCAGGGGCTCCAGGGCCTGAATCTTCTCCCTTTGGTGGACTAAGCATGGACAGGTGGCAAAGTCCTTTTGGGTCCATGGTGACCAAACAGCCACAAGACATTGATCATAAGATCAATCGTCACTTGCAAACATCAGGAGTCTATGCTTACCTTTTCAAAGCCATGATCCTGCTTCACATCTTCCTGCACTTACTTTTTTTTTTTTTTAAAGCATGTGTTTGTTATTAAATCAAGGGCAGAGTCCAGATGAGGACTGGGATCTCTCCTATGTCTTTGCATCCTATGCCTTTAGTCCTGAAACAGCAACCTATTTGCACCTCCTGAGACTGCCTGGGGACCCTCCTTACTTCCCAGAGGAGTTTCTATTCCTGGTGTTCCCTCTTTTTCCTATACTTACTGCTGTAACATACTTCTCAAGAATGGAAAGGGTGAGGTTCCTTTAGGTGCCCTACCACCGAACAATCCATGCAAAAGGTGACCTCAAAGTCCAGTTAGAAGCTGCCCCAGTCCTGCTTTGGAGCCCTAGAATCAGAATAGGTCCCTCTCTGTGTCTATTTCTGTTTGGACCCAGGATAGGAGCTAAGTTCTTACCCAGCATCGCCTCATATGCATTTTTGATGGAAGATAGTAGTGGTTTGTACGTCTTGAAATCCTCTATGAAGAATTCGAAGATCTCTCTATAAGGCTGGAAAGAAAAGGGAACCTGTCACTTCATGGCTCATACCTGCCACACTCAGTGGGGATCTGTGCTTTTCTTTACTGGGCTAAGAAGTTCCCACGTGAGGCTGCCAGGTAACCCATATGAAGGGAAGACCTAAGGACCACCCAGGTCTCACTGGATGTGCAGCTTTCTGGAGGTCTTCCCTCTGATGTCTATAAGGTCTGGCCAACCACCATGGACTAAACCTGTCACCTTTTCTTTTGCCTATCCAGGCAGCCAGTCTTGCCTTCCAGACCCTGTATCCATTGGCCTCTCAACTTCAGCCTTTCCCTACCTCAGAGCTTTGTGGGCACAGTAGATTGAAGGTTCTAGCCTCACATTCTGCTTGTATGTTGTGCCAGAACCTGGCACACAGCCATGGCTCAGTAAATGTTTCAGTTATGACTAGGTCACAAATCAGAGATTCACTACTGTCCTTTCTATCTGAGACCCTCTCTAATATGTACTAACTCTCTCTCTCTCTCCTCTTCTTTGTCTCTGGGCTAGTTACTCAAGCTTAGTGGTGGTGGTGGTGGAAATTGTGTCACTTCTGTTTGGTGTTGTGGACAGTAGAGTTGCAGGGACTGGAAGAGCATCCAGTCTACCCAACTCGTGAACCTGCAGCTTTGGGAGTTTTGGTTCATGCAGCCTTGTCTGCTCATTGGCTTTCTCATACAATGTGCTTCTTTTCAGAGAAGGAGATAATCTGGGAGACCACTCCTTCCTGAAGGTCTAAAGTACCCAGTCCTGATAGGTGAGGTTTCTTCCTGACTCTCCCATGTTTAATCTGGGGCTCTGACCTGCAGCCTCAGCTCCTGTGTGGAATCTGTGCCCAGGTCCAGCAGGAGGAGCTCCTTGCGTAGGTAGTTTTCTAGCTGTTCCAGGTATTTGGGCTTGGCAATGCCCAGAGGATGCTGCTGCCAGCTAATGCAAAGGGATGGTGGGTTGAGATGTCACCAGTACCCTTAGTCTGGCACAGCACACACTTGCCCTGTGCCAGCCCAAAGCCTGGTCTGTAGTAGCCTGCCCACCGTGTTTTACTCTGCCTTACCTGGCTCGCTTCCCGTAGTCATCAGAACAGGGCTTTCGGTTTTGTAGAATGGTCTGGCCACTGGTGTAGGTAGGCCATGGGGACAGGTGGCCACCCACGGAGAACTGCCAGGGCTTCAGGAAGGGACAGGTGGGGTTACTGTGGCAGTATTACTCCCCTTCCTAATGTTCCTCTTATTCCTTCCTCCTGCTCTCATTTTCTCTTTCTTTTCTCTCTCTCTCGCTTTCTTCTTCTTTTTCTTCTTTTTTTTTTTTTTGGTGGTACAGGGGTTTGAACTCATGGCTTCCCACTTGCTAGGCAGCACTCTACCACTTGAGCCACTCTGCCAGCCCTCTCACTCACTTTTGAGACAGGGTGTCATTATGTATTACAGCCCAGGCTGGCCTCAAACTCACTATGTATTCCATGCTGTCCTAGAAGTTGAGATCCTCCTGCTTCTTCCTCCCAAGTGCTGGGATTACAGATGTGTACCATCACACCCAGGAATAAACAATTCTTAATATGGTGCATAATGTAAGAGTATGGTCCTTGAGTTAGAGCTTGGTTTAAATCTCTAATCTCCCTTATTAACTATGTGACCACAGCCTTAAACTTCTCTGAGCCCCAATCTCTGCATCTGTAGAGTGGATGGTAGTCACCACCCCCCATATTGAGGTGAGAACACCATGAGAATGCATACTATATGGTTTATACAGTCTGCTAGGAACACAATAAAGGTGAGCTATCCCCTTCTCAGTAATCAGTGAATATTTGAACACTTGAGCAGTGAAAGTAGATGTGAGTTACCAGAGGGCCCCAGCCCTGGCCCCATAGCACAGTCTAGCTAAAGAGACAGAGAAGGTAAGCCCAGACTCAAGCCTGGACTGACAAGACAGACAAAACTACAGAGATGTGGCCAGGGAGGCTGTGGACCCTGGGAGAAGAATGGGGTGCACCCCTTGGGCGAGAGGGATGTAGTTGACGGTCACCTGGCTATGGATTTCATTTTGAACTTTTAGCAGGGGCATAGGCTTATTTTTTAACCTTTTACTGAATCACTCAAGGCATGAAGAAAAAATATGATCCTCTGGCTCAGTGAAGCCTATTTCTGGTTTTTTCTTTTTTTTTGTGTTGGCAATTGAACCCAGGGCCTCAAGCATTCTCTAGACAAGAACTCTACCCTTGAGCTAGATCTCTAGTCTTCTAGGGTTTTTTTTTGTTTTTTGTTTTTTTTTTGGTACTGGGATTGAATTTAAGGTGTACACCTTGAGCCACTCCACCAGCCCTTTTTTGTGAAGGGTTTTTTCAAGATAGGGTCTCACAAACTATTTGCCTGCACTGGCTTGGAACCTAGATCCTCCTGATCTCTGACTCCTGAGTAGCTAGGATTATAGGTATGAGCCACTGGCATCTGGCTTAGGGTTTTATCCACCCAGTCATTCACTTGTTCATCAAGTATTCCTGAATCCATAGTACATGTTGGGCCCTGCTGGGTTCTAGGGACATTAGGGAAACTGGGTATGAGCTGATGACTCAAGCCAGCATAAAGTAAGTGCAGTTAGTGCAGGTTACAGGAAGGTAGGAAGCTCTGATTGGTGTGGACCAGGTGAGGCTGGTCATCTCAGAGCAGAAGGTGATGATATCAGTATAGCTCAAATGAAGGCAAGGGACTATTGTGATAATTTAAAGTGTGTGGCTCAAGCAGTAGGCACAAAGACTATCTGGGTAGCACTAACACCTCTGGGACACACTAGAAGATTTGAAGAGCTATGAATAGGTGCCAATGCCCAGAAAGAGCAGGTTGTCTGAGCCTACAGCTGAGGCTAAGGCTTGGGCAAGGAGCCCAGGTAGCTAGCGCAGGGGAAGACAGAGATGGAGCAAAAGTGTTACTTAGGGTTGGTCCTCAAAGCCATACTCATTGCTGTGGAAATATTAGAAAACTCCTAAGTGTCTAAAAACAGATTAGCCTGGCGCTGGTGGCTCATACCTGTAATTCTTGCTACTCAGATATCAGTAGGATTGTGGTTCAAAGCCAGCTCAAAAATAGTTCACAAAACCCTATCGTAAAAAATCCTTTCATAGAAAAGTGTTGGTGGAGTGGCTCAAGGTATAGACCCTAAGTTCAAACCCCAAGACTGAAAAAAGTAAATGAATGAAAAATAAAAACAAGATTATTTTGTAGCCATGGAATGTTTACAAAGAGGCTTAACATGGAAATATACTAATGATACAGCTCTAAGGTTATGTAATGCCTGAAATTAAGGAATAAGCATGCCAAGTCAAATGGAAGACTAGAAAATCCAAAAGGCTATTGTCAATTATTCTCTAATGACAGGACCATGGGTGATTAATTTTGTGTAATTGTACATTTTCAAAATTTTCTACAATGAGCATAATCTTCAAATTTAGAAGAAAATTGTATTTAAAAAATCCCAAGCATGAAGTCCTGAGTTCAAATCCCAATACCACCAAAAAAAAAAGAAAAAAAAGCCCCATCTGTGGATCTGAGCCCAGCTTCCAGGTTCTTCAGGAATGGAGAAACCTTCCATATTCCACATTGCCAGGTTCTAGGAGCTCTAGCAGGCTAATAGTAAATGACTCCTGACCCTCCTAGTGTGGACAATGCCACCATCTCCTCTTCTTTGCATGCCCTTTCTGCTGCATTCTGTTAGTTCTGTACTTGTGATCATCTCTTCATTTCTGAAATATTTATAGAAGGTACATATAGTTAGCTTTGTTTCTAGGTTCCAAGGAGGACTCCAGCCTTCTGAGTGGGCTCTGGGTTTTGGCCTATCTGAACCTCAGCATTGATGGCATCATACTTCACTCTCGTCACAGTCTTAGAGCACTCAGCAAATATTGTAGAATAAATAACAATAAATGAGGGAGCACAATAAGTTAGCATGCAGGAAAAGCATAATAAAAACTAAAACATGCTAGGCATGGTATCTCACACTGATAATCCCAGTACTCGGGAGGCTGAGGCAGGAAGAATTTGAGTTCCAAGCTAGCATGGGCTGCATAGCAATACCCTGTCTCAAAACAAAACAATGTAAAAAGGAACCATTACTCATGGGGTGTATATGTTTGCACATGCTTTTCCTTGGGTTAATAATACCCTTTCCTAGTCAGGCTCCAGTAGCTAATACATGAAATTCTAGCTACTCAGGAGGCAGAGATCAGTAGGATCACAGTTCAAAGCCAGCCCAGGCAAATAGTTGGAGAAAGCCTATCTCGAAGAAATCTATCACAAAAAGTACTGATGGAGTGGTTCAAGTGGTAGAGCATCTGCCTAGCAAGGCATGAGGTCCTGAGTTCAAACCCCAGTACCTACCCCAAGTAAAAACAAAACAAAATCAGAAATAAGTTAGAGTAGTATAATTGATAAGGACAGGTGAATACTTTTTATAATGGGTATGAAATGGAAATAAAGAACAATCTTTTGCAGAGTGCTGCTGGCTCACACCTGTAATCCTGGTTACTTGGGAGGCTGAGACTGGGACAATTGTGGTTTGAGGCCAGCCTGGGTAAACAGTTTGTGAGACCCCCATCTCCAAGATAACCAGAACAGAATGAACTAGAAGTGTGGCTCAAGCAGTAGAAAACCTGCTTTGCAAGTGTGAAGCACTGAGTTCAAATTCCAGTCCCATCAAAAAAAATTTTTTTTGCCAGGCACTGGTGAGTGGCTCATGCCTGTAATACTAGCTACTCAGGCAGCAGAGGTCAGGAGGATAGCGGTTCGAAACCAGCCAGGGCAAATAGTTCGAGAGACCCTATCTCAAAAAACCCTCCACAAAAATAAGGCTGGTGGAGCGGCTCAAGGTGAAGGCCCTGAGTTTAAGCCCCAGTACCATAAGAAAAAAGAATCTTTTAACATATACAAAAAGTGGTGATATGTGTTGCAGATGAAATCTTAACATACATCTCTCTCTCTCTCTCTCTCTCTCTCTCTCTCTCTCTCTGTCTGGGGTTTTTTGGTTTTGTTTGTTTGTTTTTGTGATACTGTGGTAGCAATTCAGGGCCACACACTTCCTAGGCAAGTGTTCTATCACTTGAGCCACTCCACCAGCCCTTTTTTGTGTTAGGTTTTTTTGAGATAGGGTCTTGTAAACTATTTGTTCTGGCTAGCTTGAACCATGATCCTCCTGATCTCTGCCTCCTGAGTAACTAGGATTACAGGCGTGAGCCACCAGTGCTCTACATTTGCTAATATTATGTAATGGAAATAGGAACTGGCAATATATCTAAATTCATCTAGAAACTTAAAAATAAATTCATATTTTTCTCTGATTCACTTATTACTTAAATATAACATGTTATACAAATAATGTTAAAATAACATGTTCAAAATATTTGAGGCAGGGTCAAAGCAGCACTCACAAACCTTTTTTTATTTTCTGGTGGAACTGGGGGGTTTGAACTCAGGGCTTCGTGCTTGCAAAGCAGGCGCTGTACCACTTGAGCCACATTCCCTGTCCATTTTACTCTGTTTTTTTTTTTGAGATGGGGGGGATCTTATGGACTATGTAGCAGGCTGGTTTCGAACTGCATCATCCCTATCTCAGCCTCCCAAATAGGATTTCTGGTGTGAGCTACCAGAGAGGCCAGCTACAAGGCATTTATTCTAATTGTTTAAAGTACTTTCCTTAGGAGCTGGGAGTATGGTATACACCTGTAATCCCAGCACTTGGCATTTGGAGACAGGAGGATCATAATTTTGAGGCCAATCTGGCTACATCTGGATACCTGTATCAAAACAACAACAAAGGGCTGGGATATAGCTCAGAGAAAAAGCAAACTTACCTGGCATGCACTAGAGACCAGCACTGCAAACAAGAAAACAAACACAAAAACGACAACAATAAAAACAACAATAAAAATCCTACACAAAACTTCTTTCATAATGAAGAAAGCAAGCCTTAAGGAACTGTACCTCTCATTGCTTAAGAAAGAAAAAAAATCTGTCAAAACATAATAAGCAGGAGATTAAAAGTAGAAATAAACAGTAGAAAAATGGGAGGGTGTTACACATTAAGCCGTGGGAATACCATCAAGCTATTTTGAAATACTATCAAAATTGATATGATTATTATAAAACTGCAATATAGGCATGGTGGTGCTTGCCTGTGATCTCAGCACTCAAGAGGTATAGGCAGAGGTACATGCAGGAGGCCAGTATGCTATAATAGTGAGTTCAAGGCCAAAAAGGCATATATAGCAATACCCTATCTCAAAAAAAAAAGAGGTCTGAGAGCAAGGTCAAGTGGAAGAGTGTTTGCCTAGGAAGTGCAGCAACAACAACAAAGTGCGAAATAACCCTGGGAGACACTTGGAATCTAACTCCTTGAAAAATGGAAAGAGTTAATGGTATGTTTTTAGACTTTCAAAAGGTCCGTACTCGTGTTCTGTCTGCTGTTTCTGCGGGGGAGAAAATGTGATCACCCTACTTTGATTGCAGAGGCCTTGGCCAGGTTATTAACTGCTGGCAAAGGCCTATGACATGCAGTGTTCCTGGGGCTTCAGGCTCTCTGCTTCTTTCTGCAGGTGAAAAATGGGAAGCCTGCCCCAGAGTAATGGTGCAGTGAACAGCACCCCCTATTGGTTAAGCAAGTGCAAGATAAAAATAAAACGCAACCAAATGAGCCTGGCCCCAGATCCACTGAGAAGGTGGCCACTGATGCAGGCAGAAAGCTAGACAGAGCTAGCCTTTGCAGGGAGGTGGCTGCACCTCTCTAAAAAAGTTTATATTATCCTCCTCTTTGGATCAGAACCACATCTTGGAAGACCCTAGCCTCACAAAGTATGTGGCTCATGTGTTCCCAAATCTTCTACAAAGGGACACACTCACATAGGGAAAAATATCACAGTCTACAGTGTTTCATTGTGTGCTAGAATTATAGTTTGCTCCTGTGTTTTTTCCTTTGAAATTTGGACAGTATCTATTTGTTGTTTACATTATAACAATTCTATGATCATATGAACAAAAGTCAAAAGTGAGATGACCTTATAACTCAGCAGTTAAGTGCTTGCCTAGCATGTGAAAGTCTTTATGTTTGATTTTAAGCACCAAAACTAAATCCAAAAATCCCTAAAAGTACTAATTAAGATAATAAGACAACATTCTTTTATTTTTTGGCAGCGGGCAAGTTGAAATAAGATTTTAGCGCAGGCTGACCTTGAACTATGAAATGCTCCTGCTTCAGCCTGCTGAGTGCTGGTTTAAGCCCTGTACCACCATGTCTGGCTGAAAGCATTCATTTTTATATAACATCTTTAGACACTGGGAATGGAGAAGGAACTCAGAACCAACACGATACAAAAACATCCCTTTATTCTGCCTTCATACACATAAGTAGTTATGGAGCTCTCAGTGTATGCCAGCCACTCAAGTGCCCTCAGACATTAGGGTCATAAAGACAAAAAGCATGGTCACAGCACTGAAGGACCTTGGCAGAGCAGGGCTGACCATCCCAGCACCTAGAACAGTACCTGCCACATGGTTGGCTGGACAAAGAAATGAGGTCCATTCCAGAATGCTGAACTACACGGAAAGGGGATCTGAGGGCACAGTCTCTGCCCAGGGAGGTTTGGGAAAGCTTTCAGATGAGAAGCAGCCAGTGTTCACCTCCTTTCTCTCCAAGGTCTGGTGGGCCTGGCCTCTGTGAACCACACTCCCCTCCTGGACTGGGAAAAGACTGCTCTGGTGGCTATGCTTCAGGGGGTGGTGTTTTTGGGTTGCAGACAGGAAGACAGGTTTCATGATGCTGACGGGGGGGTTCTAAAAGGAGATTATTACTAACCAGAGTCTTCCATTTCTGAGAAATCTTGCATTTCTGGCTGATTTTGGATTCTGGAAGAAGGTATTTATCTGTAATCACTCCTGAAGACCGTGGGTGTGTTCTGCACAAAGAAGGAGAAGCTAATGGTGGGTGGCAGAGCCTAGAGTGGAAAGAGGCCCCCTACCCTTACCAAATTCACAAGACATGACTTCTGCTCCCCTCAGAGTCAGGAAGACCCAGAGGTCTTCCCAGCACTTCTTTCAGATTCCCAGAGATGCTGCCCAACAAACTCTTGGCTCTGGGCCCAAATCACTTCCCTACATTCTCAGAAATCTTCTGATCCCTAGAGATTCATCAATTCCTGCAACAGCAGGATACCCTCACCATGAACTTGTTGGCCTACACTTTGATTCACTATGGTTGTAATGTTGGTTTCATGCTCACAACTCTGGCAAATTGTGAGAACATGATACCAAAAACAGATGTCATAGGAGAAGAAGCACAGGATCTGGGGTCCAGGAGCTGGCATGTGAGTCTGTATCCTCCACTTAATAGCTAATAGGATCTGGGGCTTTCACCCTTGGAAAAATCACTTAATCTCTCTTAGAAACTAATCTAACCTACTGGGGTTTGAATTCAGGGCCTCATGCTTGCCAGGCAGGCTCTCTATCACTTGAGCCATGTTCCAGCCCATTAGTTTCCTCTTAAATTGAGACAATTCTTTTTTATTTTGAAGGCACTGGGATTTGAACCTGCGCGTGCCAGGCAGCCACTAACAGTAGTGGCCACATGCCCAGCCCTTAAATAGAGATAATTCTTAATCTTTTTGGTGCTGGGGTTTGAATTCAGGGCCTACACCTTGAGCCACTCCACCAGCCCTTTTTTGTGTTAGGTTTCTTGAGATAGGGTCTCACAAACTATTTGTTCTGGCTGGCTTGAACTGAGATCCTCCTGATCTCTGCCTCCTGAATAGCTAGGATTATAGGCACCGGCACCCAGCTTAATCTCTCTCTCTCTCTTTTTTTTTTTTTTAGTGGGACTGGGGTTTGAAGTCAGATGGGCACTCTACCACTTGAGCTGTTCTGTCAGCCCCAACTGGAGATGATTCTTGCTTTGCCTCTCATAATGTTGTAAGGTTTAAATAAGAGTGTCATATGCAAAATACCATGTACACTGCAATGAGATGCACAGATGTTAATTTTGACAGCAGGATGGGAAAAAGTAGATCCTCAACAGATCTCTAGCATCCAAGACTCTTGGGAGAGCCAGGCTTGTTTAAGCTAGGAAAGCATTTGAGGGTCAACAGGGCAGGTTGCATGTGGTCAGTCAGACCCAGGGGGAACAAAGGGCCAAGTAACTCCAGCAATCCATGTAGTTGGGGTATGCTGTAAGATAGACCTGTGTGTTTACTGTGCTTGGGTCTCTCAGCCAGCCCTTTTTTGTTATGTTTTTTTACCTGATATGGTCTTGCCAACTATTTGCCTGGGTTTGGTTTCAAACCCTGATCCTCCCGATCTCTGCCTCTTGAGTAGCTAGGATTACAGGCATGAGCCACTGCCATCCAACTTCATTTTCTGTTTGAAATACAGAAGCTGAAGTCATGGAACTCTTTTTTTTTGTGGTACTGGGATTTGAACTCAGGGCCTTGTGTTTGCTAAGCAGGTGCTCTACCACTTGAGCCATGCTTCCAATGAGGGCTGGAACTTCAAGGGCCTTTTGTGGAGACCCCAAAACAAGAAAGGTATTTAGCCAATTTTTTTGTTTTTATCCATATATGTTGATTTCTTGGCCAATATAGCTTGCTGTCATATTCACAGCTTTCAGTGACGGAACCTCTGAAAACAGGCAGGTTTTACCCTAGAGCCAAGGGATGTGCAGGGGCTCTAGAATCAGCAGGCAACTTTGGTGAAGAAGCAGTTTATTGTTGGGAAAACTGATTAGCAGTCTGCAAAAACCTGAAGCTAGATCATGTTTATCACTCAAATGGATCAAGAACCTTAATATCAGACCCCAAACTCTAAAGTTGGTACAGGAAAGAGTAGGAAATACTTTGGAACTAATAGGTATAGGCAAAGACTTTCTCAATGGAACCCCAGCAGCTCAGCAACTAAGAGATAGCATAGATAAATGGGACTTCATAAACTAAAAAGCTTCTGCTCACAAAAGAAATGGTCTCTAAACTACAGAGATCACCTACAGAGTGGGAGAAAATATTTGCCAGCTACACATCAGACAAAGGACTGATAAGCAGAATATATAGGGAACTCAAAAAACTAAACTCTCCCAAAATTAATGAACCAATAAAAAATGGGCAAGTGAGCTAAACAGAATTTCTCAAAAGAGAAATTCAAATGGCCAAAACACATGAAATATGCTCAGCATCTCTAGCAATAAAGGAAATACAAATTAAAACCACACTAAGATTCCATCTCACCCTGTTAGAATAGCATCATTAGCAACACCACTAACAACAGGTGTTGTGAGGATGTGGGGAAAAAGGAACCCTCTTACACTGCTGGTGGGAATGTAACTAGTAAACCATCTGGAAAAAAATTTGGAGGCTTCTTAAAAATTTAACATAGACCTGCCATATGATCCAGCATACCACTCTTGGGATATACCAAAGGAATGTGACACAGGTTACTCCAAAGACACTTGCACACCACATGTTTATTGTAACACTAGTCACAATAGCCAAGTTATGGGAACAGCCAAGATGCCCCCACTATCGATGAATGGATTAAGAAAACGTGGTATTTATACACAACGGAATACTACTCAGCCATAAAGAAGAATAAAATCTTATCATTTGCAGGTAAATGGATGGAATTGGAAACATCATCCTGAGCAAGGTTAGCCAGGCCCAGAAGACCAAAAATCGTATGTTTGCTCTCATATACAGATTTTAGATCAAGGGCATTGGACTTTGATCACATGATGATTTGAGAGCACACAAGGGAGTATAGGATAGGCAAGAAACCCAAAAAGAAGAAAACAAGATCGAATTTGATGTCCTCAATGCAAAGGAACTAATGCAGAAACTTAAAAGTGACAGAGGCCAATAGGAGAAGGGGACCAGGAACTAGAGAAAAGTTAGTTTGAGAAGAATTAATTTAGAATGTAACACATAAGTATAGGAAAGCAATGCTAGTAAACTCCCTGTATAGCTATCCTTATCTCAACTAGCAAAAGCCTTGGTCCTTCCTATTATTGCTTATACTCACTCTTCAACAAAATTAGAGATAAGGGCAAAAATAGTTTCTGCCTGGTAGGAAGGGTAGGGAGGGAGAGGGAGGGGCGGGGGGAAAGGGGGAGAAATGACCCAAACAGTGTATGCACATATCAATAAAAGAAAAAAAAAAAAAAAGAAAAGAAGCAGTTTATCCCTGTGACTAAGGGCTCAAGTCCAGGGTCTGACAGAGTTAGGTTCAAATCTTAACTCCACCACTTTTAAGTATGTATATCTCTAGGTTCCTAGTTCTAAATTTGTAAAATAGCTATATTATTACCTCATAGAGGGTCGTTAGGTGTAAGTGTGGTATATAGAGCCCTTGGCGAATTAATGGTTAATACAAGTTGGTTGTGACTATTAATAATAAAGTGCGCCTGCCCTTTGGTTAGCAAGTAACCAAATTTGTCAGTGTACTGACAAATTAGCAAGGATTTTAACTGTTTCTGCCTTACTGATTCCATGGGCTGGAGCCCCAGCACAAATAACAGAGGCCAGCCCTCAGTGCAGAGGTCTGAATCAGGTGTCATCTCCCTCTCTGGAAGTTCAAACCCTCCTCAACGCCCTCAGCCCCGCCAGCACCTACCTCGACTTGGAGAACCCGTAGAAACGCGACTGAGGGTTGCCATGACCGTGGGACAGCCGGCGGCCAGCACTCTCTGCCTGGGCAGTTACGATAGTGTACAGCCCGTGTCCCTGGCGACCAGCTCCCAGCGGCCCCCGCGGTGAGGCCGGACCAGGGTTGTGCCACGCCCCCACTGCTGTCCCTTGAGGTCTGGGAGGAAGGTCAAGTAGTTAAAGGTGGACTCGGACCTGGGGGGAGGGTTTTCTGAGAGTCACTCATTGTAGCGGATTTGATAGTAGCTGCAGAACTGAGGCAGGGGATAAATCGAGACCATGGAGAATGGTGGTGAGCTGAGAGGCGGGGGTCGCTGGTCGGCGGGAATTGTAGTTTTCTTTTGTCTGGGAGTCTTGGATGGATCGGCTTATGACAGAGCGGGTGTTAACTACATCTCCCGATGCTCCCTATCAGCCTATGTTGGCCCGCCTCTGGGATGTCTCTGCATTGTAGGATATGTAGTCCAAAAATGTGCGAGCGTGGCAATGTCCAAAGAGAAGGCTGGACGCGGACTCGGTTTCCCTGCGGCCCCAGAAGGCTTGCGGCCATTGGCTGAGCGGCTGATCTGGTCGCGCTCCTCCCCGCCTCAGTGACACAATAGCAGCTCCCTCGAAATGGCGGCGGCGACGGCGGACCCGGGAGCTGGGAGCCCGCAGGCTGGGGACTCGTCCAGCGGGGGCACTGGGGCGGGCTCCGTCCCTGGGGAGCAGGACTGAGCCGACGCCTGCAGCGCCTGTATCCGGCTGTCAACCAGCAAGAGACGCCACTGCCGCGCTCCTGGAGCCCCAAGACAAGTACAACTACACTCGGCCTCTCCCAGGGCAACCTTCGCGTCCACTACAAAGGTATCGGCCCGTCTGGCCGCGGGGGACAAGTCCAGAGCGTCTGCAGGGCGCTGTCCTGCTTGACCCCAGCCCATCACGTACCTTTCCTTGCCTGGGTGCTCCGTGTCAGGTCTTAGTCCCTGCGGAGTGTCCAGAGTGATGGCGCTAGCCAGGCGAGGGTTGACGTCTAGCTTTGCTCTGCTCTGAGACACCCGAAGTCAAGAGAACTCCAACAGGTGTCTAAACCCAATGCTGGGCTGGATCTTCACTTTCCGGCCTCCCTGCTTGACCTGGCTGGCTCCAACTCTAGCTGGGCCGTTTACCACTGCTTAGTTTCAGGGGCGTTTGCAAAAAGAGATGGTAATGTTCCCCACTAAGAGTGCATGGCGCTAGCCTGTCTGTCAGTCATCTAAAAGTGGGCTGGGATTCTGTGTTAAGCTGTTGTTGATGGGTGACTTCCGTGTCTACCTCCTATCCCTGGTCTCTCAGATGTGCTACCTGGATTCTGAGAGACTGCTGCAACACTCAGTATCTCTTGAATGCACCCAAATTGCCTATAGGCTTGTTTTTTGTATGGAGGACAGTGTCAGGACTGCTAGTCTCAAGAGGAGGTGAGCCAAGGTGGGAGGTTTATGTGTTTACTCAGTTGTCTAATTATTCCTTGGACAGTGTAAGAGCTTCCCTCTGGCCAAGGAGAGATGAAGTTGACTTGGAGCAGGGAAGAATGAGGCTTCCATTTACTGCTGCTGAAATTTCTTCCTTGCCCTCTCCCATTAGGTCATGGCAAAAATCACAAAGATGCAGCCTCAGTTCGTGCCACCCACCCCATACCAGCTGCCTGTGGCATTTATTACTTCGAGGTGAAGATTGTCAGCAAAGGAAGAGATGGGTAAGCCCCTTATTATACTTCTTTTCCCAACACTGAGCTGTCCCTTGCGGTCAGAGTTTGAGGTCTCCTTGCTGATACTTGTGATTGATATGAACTGCTTTGGTCTTGGACTGCCTCTGTTCCTTAACCTGCACATGGTTGGTCTAAGCAGTGGGCCTTGGTAGCAAGTAGGCACATCATGGGTAAAACAGGGATTTTTTTTTTTAGTGAAGTAAGTAGATTCTTCACAGATCAGGGACACAAATAACAAGTTACATTAATAATTAAAATGGCCTAAATGGGGTTTTCCCTACTAGCCTGTGGTGTTGTGATTTCCCTCCTTTCACACTCAGGGTTCCTTTTTTATGGCATTATAGTCATATAGAGGCCCTAGTAGACTTCAAAGGAATAGTAGAGTCTTTGCAACATTCATCAAGTTCTGGTGGCCATCTTGGTAAATAGCATACACATGGTCAGAATCAAGTGACCTTGCTGCTCATAAACTTTGTTTTTCAGTCCAGGGACTTGAACACCAGTTGGACCAGCTTTAGGAAGTTCCTCATTAAAGTAGCATTAGGGAGGCTCCCTATTTGAGGGTGATCTAAGTTGACACAGGATATCAGAGAAGACATTTTTTCTTCTTCTTTCTTCTCCCAGTCCTATTTTTCAGTGATTGTGACAAAACAGTAAAGCAGTTTTTTTTTCTTGGTGGTTATGAGGTTTGAACTCAGGACTTTATGCTTGTTAGGCAGATGCTCTACAACTTGAGCCACTCTATCAGCTCTGTTTTGTGTTAGGTATTTTTGAGGTATGGTCTCAAGTAGCTGGATAATAGGTGTGAGCCTGAAGTGCCTGGCAAAGCAGGTGTTTTTTTTTTTTTTCTTCTTGTGGTATCGGGGCTTGAATTCAGGGCCTACACCTTGAGACACTCCACCAGCCTTTTTTTGTGGAAGGTTTTTTTGAGATAGGGGCTCTTGGAACTATTTGCCTGGCTGGCTTCAAACCACGATCCTCCTTATCTCTGCTCCTGAGTAACTAGGATTACAGGCATTAGCTACAGGTGCCTGGGAAAACAGGTATTTTAAGATATGGAATAACTATGACTGTAACTGCCTTGGAAAAAGCTTTCTTCATTAGACCTTAGAGTTGGTGTGGAAAGTTTGTCAATTCCACCAGTGACCTTCATGCTGATCTAATGTGTTTTCAAGCATTTAGAATAATTCTTTCCTAGGATTATCCCCCTTGTTGTGCATGCACAATGCCTAATTAAGGGGCTGTGCTTGGGGCCTGACTGCCAGAGTTAAAACCTTGCCTGCTTCCTCATTGGCATTGTAACTCTTCTGCGTAGGAGCTCTGTGGGCTTGGATAGATCTTGGGCTTCCATCTCTTTATCTGCACTGTGGGGAGCTAGGCCAGCATCTAAGCCTAGAATTCAGTGATTCTGAAATTCTAACTGTGGAAAGCTGTTGCATCTTCACTTTTATCCTCATCTAGTGCATTTATACAGAAGAGTTTTTTTGTTTTTGGAGGTACTGGGGTTTGAACTCAGGTCCTCACACTTGCTAAGCAAGTGTTTATTGCATTTACAGACAGGGAATTTACATTTAAGTTTCAGATAGGACTTTAAAGCCTTAATATTCTCTTCCCACCATCTGTTAGAAGAACCTATATTTAATGTGGTTGAAGTAGTGTAAATGAGAATGATCTCTTAAAACAGATACCTCTAAAATTGTTATAATGTTGGCCAAGATATTGGTGCTAGAATCTCATAAGCCAAAGAAACTGAGGGACAGTACATTTCTTAAACTTGTAGGGAGGAGCCAGGTGCTGGTGGCTCACGCCTGTAATCCTAACTACTCAGGAGGCAGAGATCAAGAAGTTCTTGGTTTGAAGCCAGCCCAGGCAAATAGCTTTCGAGACCCTATCTTGAAAATACCCATCACAAAAAGGGCTGGTGGAGTGGCTTAAGGTGAAGGCCCTGAATTTAAGCAAAAAACAAACAAACAAACAAACTTGTAGGGAGGAAAAACATATTTTTTCTGTAGTCCTTTTTTCAAATATGACAGCTGAGCCAGTGAGAGACAAGAACAACTTTTCACAAAGGGAGTGTTTAAACTTAGAGATCTGGAGTCCTTCGACTAACTTTTAACATTTCAGTTTTCAGTGAATCTTGCTGGAAAAGGCTTTGTGTCATGTTAGGTTGTCTGATTGTAGGTGTTGCCTATAAGTATAAAGAAAGGTGGGTATCTAAGCTTCTCCTCCTACCATTTTTACATATGGTAAATATAGATGTTGAGGTGATCTGGAAGTCTCAGTTTTATAAAAGTCCCAGGTTATGTATGTCCACAATAACCTGCTTCAATTGACTACTGTCAGATAGTGAGTGTATGAATGGCTCCTTATGGCCACTTTATGAAATCCCTAAAGTCTTTTTGATGGCTGAGATATAGCCAGATGTTGGTATAGACCATATGTAGGTTTTTTGGGGTTTTTTTTGGGTGGTACTGGGGTTTGACCTCAGGGCCTCATGCTTGCTAGGCAGTGTTCTACCACTTGAGCCACTCTGCCAGCCCTGTTTTTGTGTTGGGTATTTTTGAGATAGGTTCTCACGAACTATTTGCCCAGGCTGGCTTCAAACCACAATGCTTCTGATCTCTGCCTCCTGAGTAGCTAGGATTACAGGCCCATATGTGGTTTTTGAAGAAGCCAAGAGCAGTTACAGGGCAGACAGACACTGACTGACTTCTTTCCTTTTTCCCATCTATGTCAGAGGTATATTTCTGACCCTGGTTTGGTCCATGATTCAAGCATTAATTGACTCTCCTTTGTTGTCTCATTTGACCCTCACAGCCATCTCTAGAAAATGGCTGGAGCAGATGATGATTTACTTGTGTTTTGGGTGAGCTCTGAGTCCCTGAGATGTTTGGTGGCCTGCCCTGGCTGCAGGGCTTATGATGTGCAACAAAATAGCCTA